TTGGAGCTGTTTGCAGCTTTCACCAAGGATGGCATCCTTAGAGAATGGCAGATGGTGGCTAATTCTTCTTCCTACATTGAGGCTGGTTTGGACTGCCTAATATTATACCAAGTGAAGCTTAATTTCGATGGCTGTAGCATGAAGAACCAAGGAAATTCAGATATAGGAGCTTTTAGAGATAGTCAAGGAACTTTTTAGCCCTCTATTCTGGACCTGTTGGCATTGGAAATTCCACCAGGGCTGAACTGCTTTCCCTGTTGCAAGGGCTTAGGCTAGGCTACCAAAAAAGAAGATTAAACTTGAGTAACTTGATAATTAAAGGGGTTCCTAAGGTAGTAATTGGATGGTTGAGAAATGACAGGCAGAGAACATGGCATCACCAGCACGATTTGAAAGAAATCAAGTGCCTAGGAAGGGAAATGGTTATCTCCATTCTATGGGTACATTAATCTGCAAACAGCATAATTGATTCACCGGAAAAACAGAGTATTAAGGGGGAACAGCTTTTTTGGGGGGTGACATAGTTTTACTAGAACAAAACTTTGGGATAGGTGACATATGCAAGCCTATAAAAACACCAACTAATATCATTCTACATATTATTCTTTTATCACAATTAATAATGTTCAAGTTACCAAYCCAAAAAAAATGGTCAACATCATGAATCAATGGATTCATTGGCAAAAAAAGTACTCCAAGAATATGCCACCCCTCAACAAAACCCCTTGGAAACATTTATCCAAAAAAAAACAAAACCCCTTGGAAAGGTGAGCCAATCCCCCTAAAACTTTCCACAAGCTTCCTGCTAAGACTTACCAAAACGTTTTTAGGAACTTCCTAGAAGACTTATCAATTTGCCAATTTGTAACATGATCTCCTCCATACCACCCTTGATATGACAGTAATAAATTTGGTGTTGAAACGCCACCAAAGAAATGCATCTCTGCAGAAATCCTATACTGCTTCCATGAAAAACTTCCTACAATGGGTGCTCTTATTTAACCCATCATGAAGTCATCCTTCTCCAGGATTTTATAACTCCACATATGACCAACAAGCCTGGAAGGCAATAAGCTACTCAACCCAATTGCAATCCACATCTGGAACTCAATTAAAGCAGATGGCCAAACATTTACTATGGTCAGAAGATTAGTTTAGGTTACTTAATAGAGAAATTGGATTATCTTCAATTTTTTCAATCCCTTATGCTATGTTTGGTTTGAAGGAAAAAGTAGGGAAAGGAAGGGAAATGTAGGGAAACCTATACATGATTTGTAAAGGTTTCCCTACTTTTTCCTTTAAACCAAACACAGCCTTAATGCATGAATATGGAATGTCACCACAAAATTTGTCTATGAATCAGATCCTTCCATAAGTTCTTCAGTACAAATAACCACAGACCTGTAAGAAATGCAAGACTAAGGAGAATTTGTCATCAAGCAATTCCATGGGTCTTTACTACAGATTTAGGAAAGTGTAACAAGCCTTCTAAGTCTGACTTCTATGATTTATGGTCGCATAGCAGATCTGGGTATTATAACATATTTTGGAGTTATCAATATGAGAAGTTGAAGAAAGAAGCTTCAGTACAAGTGTTGAAGTTTTCAATGGTGACTGGATCTTCAAGGAAGCTCTTCTATTAATTTAGGGTCATTAACTAAGATCCTAGAAGTAGTAGCAGCCTTTTAATTAATTTGAGTCCTAATCTAATTAAGATTGCTTGTAGGTTATTTTAGTTTTTATTTGTCATTTATTTTGTTTTATAATTATATTGTAGTTAGGAGTCCAAAATTAGAGTTAAAATTGCTATACATGTCAGATTAAGATTATAATAGATGCATAGGTAGATCTTATGTGTTGTTTTTTTTTTTTTTTTTGCTCTGAGTTGTGTAATTGGACTTTTTTTTAATTAATAAAGAGGAGTTCTCTTTTCAGATAAGAGTTCTGATCTCAAAACTCACACATTTTTCCCCTTCATATTATTTTATTTATTGCTCCACAGTGATGTAAACAGTACACATGAACAGCATCATGTTCAATAATACTTGATTCAGCTTCAATTTTCTTCCATGTTTAATTTTCAGTAGCTCTTACATTTTATCTTCATTACTAAAATTATCCAGATGAATTAAACTACAATTTATTTAACAAACGTAAGCTTGGCCTCAAACAACCCAAATGAGTTGTTAACTTCTAAAACAACTCAAGTGTAGTTGTTCACTTCTAAACCTATCAAAAATATAAAAAACGAAAAAAGACATTACCCAATGTTGGTTCCAGATATCTGGGTTCTTGGGAGGGGTAGACTGCATATAGTCCTAACCTTTGGCAATGTTTGTCGTAAAGTGGCTGCCCTCAGAATCAAATCCACATTCTCATGCTTGCCAGCTCAAAATGTTACCATAACACCAAGTAATGGCCCCTATCTATCAAAAAATCTACAATCCAAAAATTAATAATAATAATAATAATAATAATAATAATAATAGTAAGGAATCTTTTGTTTTTCTAGGGTTTCTTTATTTTGGCATTTGAAATAGATGACTTGACCAAGATTTCTTCATTTCAGCAAAAACTGATAAATTTATCATAAACGAAGTTCAATATACAGGCTCTCAAAGGGGCAAAAGGAAGGAGGAGACATCAATCCAAATGAGATGTTGGAAACATGTTGAGTAGAAGGAGAGAAAATAGAAGATAGATAAGGCAGCTATGGTAACTAGTTTGCTGTTACCTGTGGTGGACGTGGATCAGATATTTGAATGCCTTGATTTGGTGGTGTGTTTCTTGTTCTGTTTTAGTTCTCTTGAGATCAGTAAGTATTCTGTGGGTTGAAAGTATTATTGTAGTGTTTGTGCGGTGCCAGCTGGTTTTTGCGTTGGGCCACAAAGTCTACAATATACAGGTTTTTTCTTTATTTTAATATATCTTACTTACTATCAAACAAAGTTCAATCTTTAATAATGCCCACCAAAGCATTGATATTGCCTATAGTTGCATTGACATATCAACAATATTCCATGGACATCATGCAACTCCAGGGATTTTTATTGGTAACTAAGAGAATACTTTAAGGATCAAGGATACAAAAATGATTCAAACAAACAGACCAAAGAAACAAGGGAAGCAAAGAAAAGATAGGAAAACAAGATGAGAAAAATAGAAGCCACAAGGTTAGTGACCTGCATATGATGAACATACTATAATGCTCTCTAAGAAAGCAGCACATATGACGAAAATAAATCCAGCTCCACAAACTTATGTCCCTTAACACCCAGTACTAAAACTAACCCAGAAACCAAAAAATTCCAAATCACAGATTCCCTACTAATCACAAAGAGAATATTTTACTTCTGCCTTGTATCTATCTTTTGACATTTCCCCTCCCCCAACAGCTGCACAGTCTAGAACAGCTAATTTAGTGAAAGCAAAATCAGATTTTTAATCGACTTCATCATAATTGTCTCATTAAACATCACCATCCTACAAGACAAGCTCTATCTTCTGGTTTCAATTTCTCTGTCTTCATCTTCTGAACAGCCATGCAGTAATACTAAAAGCACTCAACCGCTTTTAGTGACCTCCAGATATACAAAAAAAAAACTAATTTTATACTCAAATTGCTTAGTGATAAATTGATTCCATGTGTTGGAGAGTAAACTCCAGTGAGGCAATGGTCAGTCCTCCAAAGGTCCAAGGCAATGGCAGTGTGAGATCATGAAAAAGATGAGAGAAGGGAAATTGGAACAGTAGCAGGAGAATGAGGAGAGGAGGAAAGAAGGAATATGGGTTCTCCCCTCCTAATGGGTCTGATTGGTGTTTTATTAATGGATCACCCTGTTTAGATATGGGGACCCAATTTATAATATTTTGGGTCTCTCATATTGTAGAATTCTCCTACATTTTGTCTTTTTTCCATTTTACCCTTTAATTACTATTCTGGAATGTTCTAACACTTAGCTAATGCAAATGGCCCTCAATTAGATAAATAATTGGTCTAAAACAGTCCGCTCTGACCCAGGTTCAACACTGGGTCAGCCAGGTCAAAGTACTTTTGTAACCCCATTGTCTTACACCATGATATATATATATAAAAGCAAAAACTGGTCTTTTACTCAAATTGCTGAGTGATTAATTGATTCAATCATCTGATCAGTTTTGTGGTCAACCACTGTAAACCTACTTGGCCCCATTTTTGCATCACGCATCAGTGCTATGTCCTTATCTGAAGAAAACTGTTTATTTCTATCTTCAATCCCCAACATACCATCACCCAAGGAGAAAAATCATAAAACCAGTTACCAAAGTATGAAGATTACCAAGACCTCCCTCTAAGCCACCTCATTCAATAGATATCCCCTCCACTGGCCAAAAAAAATAAATAAATAAATACTTCAAGGATTATGTTTCTCCAGTCTCTTCGGAGACATCTGATAAAATTGGAACGATACAGAGAAGATTAGCATGGCCCCTGCACAAGGATGACACGCACAAATCGAGAAATGGTCCAAATTTATTCATCAAAAAAAAAGGATTATGTTTCTCCAAGTGCAAACAATAAAAAAAAGTATAGGTGGGAGACACAGCTTCAAATTAAATGGTAGATTTGGTGGCAAATGAAATCTCAGTATACTTCAAGGAAAGCCTGATATTTGAGTCTCCCAAACAGATAATTCAAGGATGACGCCATGGTATAACATTAAACAGGAAAATGCATGTATATTGGCATGGGAATAGCTTCTTGGCTTCTACAGTGTACTCAAGGWTGGCATGGTGAAATGATATTTAATACTAAACATTTAACTGATGCATAATCATGATTGTCCAAATACATGCATGTAAACAGGTGTACACAGACATATATGCTTATATATGTGTGGCAATGTTTAAATGCATCTTAAAGTATTTGAAATAAATCAAATAATAAATGACCTAAAATCCCAACAATAAACTCAAGTTGTACCAACAATAGTATGTGTTGCTTTAAGTTTCAAAACTACCTCAATTACTTGAAACCCTTGTTCTTCAGCACAGGCATAGATAGCAGCAGATTTCCCACACTGCAGAAACAAAAAGTGATAAAACATAAAATAAACAACCAATACAAACCAGTAACATTAAAGGATGAATCGATAGTGTCTCAATTGCAGTACAATAAATACAACAACGAAAAGACAAGCAACAACTACATAACTTTTACACGGTGCAATGTTTCTTTTAAACTAGCAGCAGCTTTAATGTTGAGATGAGGCAAAGCTAGAGGCTGATTTATGCAAGCTAGGTATGATTGACATCTTTACCCAGCTTGATGGGGAATGTTGAGATGATTTGTTTTGTTTTATTCTTGCTTACTTATTGATTGTTGTTTTTATTTTTAATTCTTTATGTATTGGCAGCAAATGGTCTTTATTATGACTTTTTAATGTAATTGGATAGAAACATTGCTAGCAAAATGACTTATTGGGTGAAATCCCTGAAGGCCTTTAAGGACTTCTCGGTTGACAACATCATGAGAAATTAGAAACTTGTAGCCAGCTCTTCCAGAATAAGGAACACTATTAGCATACTGCATACCATGGTCTCCTCCAGCCCTCAATTCCATCAAATTAAACTTTGATTATTGCAGTTCGGGAAACTTGGGAGCCTCTAGAATTGGGGGAGTTTTCACAGATGCTAATAACAGCATACTTGCCCAGTTTTTAGGACCTGTAGACCATGGTGACTATTATACTCAGACTGAACTCATAGCGGTCAGCCAAGGGATAAGACAACCCTTAACAAATCTTGTGGTGGAAGGAGACATGAATGTAATTGTGGGGTAGCTATGTTGAGAATAGGTATTTGGCCAGGGGCATTATTGTCTTTGCATCCTATTTGTATTTGGGTGCCCATATAAGGGCACAAATATAATTGTTCTTCATTGATATAAAAAGAACTTTTGGGTGTGAACAGTAACACACCCTCTTCTCCCATAACTCTCTTATTCCTCTTCTCTTCTCTATTCCTCTTCTTCTGTTTATCTCTTCCTCCCTTACTCTTACAACTTGGTATCAGAGCGGGAAGGAATCTTGGAAGAGCCTTTTTTGTCAACACTCGAACTCAGGAAGACCTGCTGATGTTAGACTGCCGCTGGATGACATCAGCAGTCCGTACAGGCTCTGACAGCAACTCTTGAAACTAGCTCAGTTTGCTGTGCCCTGATTTTAGGGATTTTTTGGTATGGTAATCATCTTCATTTGATGCTCCTATGATTTTTTCCAGTTTTTACAATCAAAAATTACAGAAAAATACTGGTTTGATGTTTGGATTTTTTTCCCCTCCATTTGAGGTTGGTGCTTGCTTGAAACCTGTTGTTCTTGGGTCGTTTGACCCTTCTGGAGGTATAGGAAGTGGTTCCACATTTTTCTGAGCCCTAGTTTTTTGGGAGACTTTATTCTCCTCATATATTGCCATCAATTCAATTTTCGGCCTCCTATTGGACTCCAACCAAGTGTTGCCCTGTTTTAGTGGGTCTAGTGTGTGTCAGTTTGTTGTTGCCTTGCTGGAGTTTTGTAGAGCTGTCAAGAAACCTATCCAAGTCAAATGGAATTGCCTAAGAGAGCAAAGATTGTTTCCAAGTGCTCTCGGGCAATGTTGATGTCTCTAGTGGTATGATAACCACAGTGAAACTTGGTGGAACCAACTTCCTAGAGTGGTCTCAATCAACCAAGCTTAATATCGAAGGTAGGGGTAAGCTAGGATTCATTATTGGCAAGGAGGGGAAGCAGAAACCTGATGACCCCAAGTTTGCCAAATGGGAACAGGATAAATCTTTGGTTATGTCATGGCTGGTGTGTTTGATGCAGCCTTATATTGCCCATAGCTACATGTTCCTCTCCACTACCAAGGATGTTTAGGATCGTGTTACAGCCATGTACTCCCAGGCAAAAATTGCAGCTTGAGACTACCAACTCTAGAGAGAAGCCTATAATATGCGTTAGGGGAGAAAATTGTAGCCATGTATTTCTCTTCCTTGCAATCTCAATGGGAAGAAATGGACCATCTGGAGGCCTTGGAATGGAAGAATCCCAAGGATGGTGAACAATATCGAAAGCATGTTGTAAAGAACCAAGTGTTTGATTTCCTGGCAGAGTTGAATGCTGAGTATGATTTTACCTGACAGCATACCTTAAGTGCAAATATCGTTTCTCTTGCTATGCATAATCCTTGGTACAAATAGAGGAGAGTAGAAGGGGTGCAATGGTGCAAACTTAAGTGGTGGACCATTTTGCTTACATGTCCTCCAAACCCAAGCAAAGTGTAAGAAAACAGGGTGTTAATGAGTAAGCCTGATGAAGTGGTATGTGAATATTGCAAGAAGCCAAAACACACCAACGACAGGTTTTGGAAACTAAACCCACATTTGAAGCCTGAAAAATTTAAAACAAAGAAGGGAAATGCTCATCTTGCTACTGTTGGAGTTGATTGTCTTCCTAGTGTACAGGCTCCTACACATGATCCCTCTGATGTGATGGAGAAGATCAAGATCCTATTGACTCAACTTAAGAAGTTTGGGTCCTCTACCTTTGCTGATTCTAGTAATCCTTCCGATGCTTTTGTGAAAACAGGTACTGCACTTGCTTGTCAATCTTCTTCTGCTAGCTCCTGGATTGTGGACTCTAGAGCTAGTGCACATATGACTAGTATGCCTTCCCACTTCACCTCTTATAACTTGGCCCTAGGGGAAGGCAAAATCATTGTAGTTGATGGATCTCAGACTCCAATTTCTAGTATGGATGTGAAGTCAAGCTTACTCATGATCTTTCCCTAAGCTCTATTCCTCATGTTCCTCAATTGTACAAAAAACCTTTTATCTATTAGCTCTCTTACCAAATCTCATAATTGTTAAGTGGCCTTTTTTCCCTTCTCACTATGTTTTTCAAGACTTGAAAATGGGCAGGGTAATTAGAATTGGACATGAAGCCAATGGAGTTTACCTTTTTAATCAAATCTCTGAGCAAAGATTACTATGCTAGACCAAGTCATGTCAAAAGGAAAATCTAAATCTTTTGAAGTTGTGACATTGTCACCTCGGTTATGTGTCTTTCAAGTCCATTAAATTTTTGTTTTCAAACTTGTGTCATTATATATTCAATTTAAGTAATAAATGTGAATGAAGTCTATCATCTCTCAAAACAATGTGGAACTACATATCTTGCAAGTAATAGAAAGAATGATGTTGCTTTCAGCTTAATGCACACTAATGTTTGGGCCCATACTCCATTCCTTGTATGGATGGCTATAAATATTTTATATTGTTCATTGATGATTACTCTAAATATACTTGGCTATACCTAATGAAGAGTAGAGATGAAGTTCCTTCCATTGTTCAAAACTTCTTTAAAATATGGAAAAGCAATTTGAGATGAACATCAAGATGATAAGGTCTAACAATGCTAAGGAGTATTTTGAAAAGCATCTATGTTTCTTACTTAAAGAAAAGGGGGCAATTCATCAAAGCTCATGCTCCCATACTCTACAGCAAAATGGTGTAGTTGAGATAAAAAACAGACATGTTGAAGCTGCCAAAGGGCTACTCTTCCATATGCATGTGCTAACCCGCTTCTGGGAGATGCAATTGAAGCAACTATGTATTTCATTAGCAGACTTCCTTCACGAACACTTCGCCTTCAATCTCCTCATCAACTTCTTTTCCTTAAAGATCCCATTTTTCGTCTACCTTGTTTATGACATGAGTCCTCATCTCAAACTTGACTATAAATCTATCAAGTGCATTTTTTTTGGGCTACACTCCAATCCAAAAGGGGTACAAATGCTTTGATCTCCCACTCTAGTTGACGGTATGTATCTAAGGATGTTATGTTCCTTGAGTCTACTCCGTATTTCTAGCTCACTCGTCCTCTTAAAGAAGACAGTGTTAGTGAAGATTAGAATCCCCTTTTGTTTTCCTGTTCCTACCTCTATGAATATTCCTGGTCCATCTTCCTCCCTTCCCACTTTAAGTAACAGCATTCCTACTCCTATTCCTCCACAACGGTCCTAGCAACAATAGTTCATAAGGCGTAAAAGGAATGATACTCCTACGGCTGAATGTCCACAACAATCTAATCACCCACCTCCAGGTAATTCTAAAAACAACCCTTAACTTCTTATTCCTGCTGTTATTGAGCTTGATATCTCACAGTCTAACCTTGACCTTCCCATTACAATTCAAAAAGGAAAAAAAAAAAAATCACTACTTACCCCATCACTATGTTTCTTATGATGCTCGTTCAGCTTCCTATATTCTTATATTTCTACTATCTCCTTTGTTTCCATTCCCTATAATGTTTCAAATGCAATGCAGTCCCTTAGTGGAAGGATGATATGAACCAAGAAATGGAGGCTCTCATAAAAAACCACACTTGGGAGTATGTTCCTCTTCTTGAGGGTAAAGTCCCAATTGGCTACAAGTGAGTGTATACTGTTAAACATCAAGCTAATGGATCAATTAAAAGATACAAATCTAGGTTGGTAGCAAAAGGGTACACCCAAACATATAGGATTAACTATCAAGAGACTTTTGCTCCTATAGCCAAAATGTATTACATTTGAGTCATTATGTCTCTTGTTGCACATTATCCATGGCCTCTATACCAAATGGATGTGAAGAATGCCTTCCTCAATGGAGATGAGGATGTCTATATGGATCTTCCCCTAGGGGTAAGCTTCAAGAGGATGTCTATATGCCTTCCTTTTGCAGTCTCCTAGAGATTGGTTTGACAGATTCAGAAAAGTTGTTCTTAGAATCGGGTTCACTCAATCACAAGCAAATCATACTCTGTTCATAAGAAGGGCTAATGGCCTAGTAACTCTACTTATAGTGTACATTGATGATATTTTTGTCAATGGAGATGATTACTCTGGGATAGACCAACTAAAGTCAATTCTTGCTTCTAAATTTGAGATCAAAGATCTCGGGAATCTTAGATACTTTCTTGGAATTGAAATGGCAACGTCAAAGGGAGGGATCTTCACTTCACAAAGAAAGTATGCCCTCAATCTCCTTCATGAGATCGAGAAAATGGGGTGCAGCTTGTTAAAACTCCCATTGACCCCAATCATAAACTGAGTGTTGATGATGGAGATATTCTTCCAAGCAAGGGTGTCTACTAGAGACTTGTTGGTCGGCTTCCTTACATGTGTTTGACCCAGCCTAATATATCCTATGTTGTAAGCAAGGTGAGCTAGTATATGCATAACCATAGAACTTCACATATGCAAGTTGTCAACAAGATTCTTGCTTACCTAAAGGGATGCCCAGGCAAAGGAATGTTGTACTCCAACTAGGGACATCTCAAGGTCTAGGCTTATACTAATGCTGATTGGGCATGTTCTATGGGTGATAGAAAATCCACCTTTGGTTATTGTGCTTTGGTGGAGGTAATGTTGTATCTTGGAGAAATAAAAAACAATTTGTTATTGCTTGATCTAATGCTAAAGTTGAATATAGAGCTATGGCTCATGGTGTATCAAAATTACTATGGCTAAAGACCTTGTTATCTAAGATTGGGATCCAAGTTGAAGCCCCAATGAGACTATATAGTGATAACTAAGCTACTATAAACATTGCTCGTAATGTTGTCCAACATTACCACACAAAGCACATTGAGATATACACTTCATTAGAGAAAAGATAACCAATAGAGTGTTAGACAATTGTATGCCCTTAGCTTCAATCAGAGATATGTACATTATGAATTTATTGTAAATGAATTAAAGTACACATTTGATTCATGTTCCTGTGGTGTGTTTCTGTGTAATACCCTTAAACTGGACACTTAATGAGACTTGTGTTAGTTTAGAATGTTCACAGCCATTGGGTAAGTCTAGGGAGATTTATC